CACATATTATGGCTAAAAACCCCGAAATGTCAATATTTAAGGAGTTATGACCATTTTAAAGTATGCTATTTTTCCTCTTTCAAAAAGTGATCACAAATTATAGCTAAAAACCCCGAAATGTCAATATTTAAGGAGTTATGACCATTTTAAAGTATGCTATTTTTCCTCTTTCAAAAAGTAATCACATATTATGGCTAAAAACCCCGAAATGTCAATATTTAAGGAGTTATGACCATTTTAAAGTCCCGAAATGTCAATATTTAAGGAGTTATGACCATTTTAAAGTATGCTATTTTTCCTCTTTATAATAGTGATCACAAATTATAGCTAAAAACCCCGAAATGTCAATATTTAAGGAGATATGACCATTTTAAAGTATGCTATTTTTCCTCTTTATAATAGTGATCACAAATTATAGCTAAAAACCCCGAAATGTCAATATTTAAGGAGTTATGACCATTTTAAAGTATGCTATTTTTCCTCTTTATAATAGTGATCACAAATTATAGCTAAAAACCCCGAAATGTCAATATTTAAGGAGTTATGACCATTTTAAAGTATGCTATTTTTCCTCTTTATAATAGTGATCACAAATTATAGCTAAAAACCCCGAAATGTCAATATTTAAGGAGTTATGACCATTTTAAAGTATGCTATTTTTCCTCTTTATAATAGTGATCACAAATTATAGCTAAAAACCCCGAAATGTCAATATTTAAGGAGTTATGACCATTTTAAAGTATGCTATTTTTCCTCTTTATAATAGTGATCACAAATTATAGCTAAAAACCCCGAAATGTCAATATTTAAGGAGTTATGACCATTTTAAAGTATGCTATTTTTCCTCTTTATAATAGTGATCACAAATTATAGCTAAAAACCCCGAAATGTCAATATTTAAGGAGTTATGACCATTTTAAAGTATGCTATTTTTCCTCTTTATAATAGTGATCACAAATTATGGCTAAAAACCCCGAAATGTCAATATTTAAGGAGTTATGACCATTTTAAAGTATGCTATTTTTCCTCTTTATAATAGTGATCACAAATTATAGCTAAAAACCCCGAAATGTCAATATTTAAGGAGTTATGACCATTTTAAAGTATGCTATTTTTCCTCTTTCAAAAAGTGATCACAAATTATGGCTAAAAACCCCGAAATGTCAATATTTAAGGAGTTATGACCATTTTAAAGTATGCTATTTTTCCTCTTTATAATAGTGATCACAAATTATAGCTAAAAACCCCGAAATGTCAATATTTAAGGAGTTATGACCATTTTAAAGTATGCTATTTTTCCTCTTTCAAAAAGTGATCACAAATTATAGCTAAAAACCCCGAAATGTCAATATTTAAGGAGTTATGACCATTGTAAAGTATGCTATTTTTCCTCTTTCAAAAAGTGATCACAAATTATAGCTAAAAACCCCGAAATGTCAATATTTAAGGAGTTATGACCATTTTAAAGTATGCTATTTTTCCTCTTTCAAAAAGTGATCACAAATTATGGCTAAAAACCCCGAAATGTCAATATTTAAGGAGTTATGACCATTTTAAAGTATGCTATTTTTCCTCTTTATAATAGTGATCACAAATTATAGCTAAAAACCCCGAAATGTCAATATTTAAGGAGTTATGACCATTTTAAAGTATGCTATTTTTCCTCTTTATAATAGTGATCACAAATTATAGCTAAAAACCCCGAAATGTCAATATTTAAGGAGTTATGACCATTTTAAAGTATGCTATTTTTCCTCTTTCAAAAAGTGATCACAAATTATGGCTAAAAACCCCGAAATGTCAATATTTAAGGAGTTATGACCATTTTAAAGTATGCTATTTTTCCTCTTTATAATAGTGATCACAAATTATAGCTAAAAACCCCGAAATGTCAATATTTAAGGAGTTATGACCATTTTAAAGTATGCTATTTTTCCTCTTTCAAAAAGTGATCACAAATTATGGCTAAAAACCCCGAAATGTCAATATTTAAGGAGTTATGACCATTTTAAAGTATGCTATTTTTCCTCTTTCAAAAAGTGATCACAAATTATAGCTAAAAACCCCGAAATGTCAATATTTAAGGAGTTATGACCATTGTAAAGTATGCTATTTTTCCTCTTTCAAAAAGTGATCACAAATTATAGCTAAAAACCCCGAAATGTCAATATTTAAGGAGTTATGACCATTTTAAAGTATGCTATTTTTCCTCTTTCAAAAAGTGATCACAAATTATAGCTAAAAACCCCGAAATGTCAATATTTAAGGAGTTATGACCATTGTAAAGTATGCTATTTTTCCTCTTTCAAAAAGTGATCACAAATTATGGCTAAAAACCCCGAAATGTCAATATTTAAGGAGTTATGACCATTGTAAAGTATGCTATTTTTCCTCTTTCAAAAAGTGATCACAAATTATGGCTAAAAACCCCGAAATGTCAATATTTAAGGAGTTATGACCATTTTAAAGTATGCTATTTTTCCTCTTTATAATAGTGATCACAAATTATAGCTAAAAACCCCGAAATGTCAATATTTAAGGAGTTATGACCATTTTAAAGTATGCTATTTTTCCTCTTTATAATAGTGATCACAAATTATAGCTAAAAACCCCGAAATGTCAATATTTAAGGAGTTATGACCATTTTAAAGTATGCTATTTTTCCTCTTTCAAAAAGTGATCACAAATTATGGCTAAAAACCCCGAAATGTCAATATTTAAGGAGTTATGACCATTTTAAAGTATGCTATTTTTCCTCTTTATAATAGTGATCACAAATTATAGCTAAAAACCCCGAAATGTCAATATTTAAGGAGTTATGACCATTTTAAAGTATGCTATTTTTCCTCTTTCAAAAAGTGATCACAAATTATGGCTAAAAACCCCGAAATGTCAATATTTAAGGAGTTATGACCATTTTAAAGTATGCTATTTTTCCTCTTTCAAAAAGTGATCACAAATTATAGCTAAAAACCCCGAAATGTCAATATTTAAGGAGTTATGACCATTGTAAAGTATGCTATTTTTCCTCTTTCAAAAAGTGATCACAAATTATAGCTAAAAACCCCGAAATGTCAATATTTAAGGAGTTATGACCATTTTAAAGTATGCTATTTTTCCTCTTTCAAAAAGTGATCACAAATTATGGCTAAAAACCCCGAAATGTCAATATTTAAGGAGTTATGACCATTTTAAAGTATGCTATTTTTCCTCTTTATAATAGTGATCACAAATTATAGCTAAAAACCCCGAAATGTCAATATTTAAGGAGTTATGACCATTTTAAAGTATGCTATTTTTCCTCTTTATAATAGTGATCACAAATTATAGCTAAAAACCCCGAAATGTCAATATTTAAGGAGTTATGACCATTTTAAAGTATGCTATTTTTCCTCTTTCAAAAAGTGATCACAAATTATGGCTAAAAACCCCGAAATGTCAATATTTAAGGAGTTATGACCATTTTAAAGTATGCTATTTTTCCTCTTTCAAAAAGTGATCACAAATTATGGCTAAAAACCCCGAAATGTCAATATTTAAGGAGTTATGACCATTTTAAAGTATGCTATTTTTCCTCTTTATAATAGTGATCACAAATTATAGCTAAAAACCCCGAAATGTCAATATTTAAGGAGTTATGACCATTTTAAAGTATGCTATTTTTCCTCTTTATAATAGTGATCACAAATTATAGCTAAAAACCCCGAAATGTCAATATTTAAGGAGTTATGACCATTTTAAAGTATGCTATTTTTCCTCTTTCAAAAAGTAATCACATATTATGGCTAAAAACCCCGAAATGTCAATATTTAAGGAGTTATGACCATTTTAAAGTATGCTATTTTTCCTCTTTCAAAAAGTGATCACAAATTATAGCTAAAAACCCCGAAATGTCAATATTTAAGGAGTTATGACCATTTTAAAGTATGCTATTTTTCCTCTTTCAAAAAGTAATCACATATTATGGCTAAAAACCCCGAAATGTCAATATTTAAGGAGTTATGACCATTTTAAAGTATGCTATTTTTCCTCTTTCAAAAAGTGATCACAAATTATAGCTAAAAACCCCGAAATGTCAATATTTAAGGAGTTATGACCATTTTAAAGTATGCTATTTTTCCTCTTTCAAAAAGTAATCACATATTATGGCTAAAAACCCCGAAATGTCAATATTTAAGGAGTTATGACCATTTTAAAGTATGCTATTTTTCCTCTTTCAAAAAGTGATCACAAATTATAGCTAAAAACCCCGAAATGTCAATATTTAAGGAGTTATGACCATTTTAAAGTATGCTATTTTTCCTCTTTCAAAAAGTGATCACAAATTATAGCTAAAAACCCCGAAATGTCGATATTTAAGGAGTTATGACCATTTTAAAGTATGCTATTTTTCCTCTTTCAAAAAGTGATCACAAATTATAGCTAAAAACCCCGAAATGTCAATATTTAAGGAGTTATGACCATTTTAAAGTATGCTATTTTTCCTCTTTCAAAAAGTGATCACAAATTATAGCTAAAAACCCCGAAATGTCGATATTTAAGGAGTTATGACCATTTTAAAGTATGCTATTTTTCCTCTTTCAAAAAGTGATCACAAATAATAGCTAAAAACCCCGAAATGTCAATATTTAAGGAGTTATGACCATTTTAAAGTATGCCATTTTTCCTCTTTCAAAAAGTGATCACAAATAATAGCTAAAAACCCCGAAATGTCAATATTTAAGGAGTTATGACCATTTTAAAGTATGCTATTTTTCCTCTTTCAAAAAGTGATCACAAATTATAGCTAAAAACCCCGAAATGTCAATATTTAAGGAGTTATGACCATTTTAAAGTATGCTATTTTTCCTCTTTCAAAAAGTGATCACAAATTATAGCTAAAAACCCCGAAATGTCAATATTTAAGGAGTTATGACCATTTTAAAGTATGCTATTTTTCCTCTTTCAAAAAGTGATCACAAATTATAGCTAAAAACCCCGAAATGTCAATATTTAAGGAGTTATGACCATTTTAAAGTATGCTATTTTTTTGGCTTTGTTCCAGAACCTCTAAAAATTAGAGCTTTAACATTTTTGCAGCTCCGCAAATTTCAAAAATATAATGTAATACAAATTCTCAATTAGTTTACACACAATTTTAGTGTGGGAGAAGGTCCGCCTTTGATAAGTAAATTGTTGTTATGGTTGGCCTGATCCCAGCGTACTGGAGGATTACCATTGGAGAGTACCAGATGAATTTGTAAAAGTGGACGTTTCCCCTTTTATCGTCATTTCTCCACTTAGATCTGTAAATTTATATGTGGCACCGCAACGTTCAATCTGATAAGAAGGAGACAGGTTATTTGTGGACATGGACTATATAATATCGGCCAGTAAGCCCATCTGACAACTATGTTTGCTGTCATAGCACAATAGAGCAAACACTACTAAGTGTATTGTCAACAGTGGTCTTCGTGGCCGAACTTTCCTTGTGGAGTCCGCAAAATCATAGCATTACCTTTCCTTCTCGAATTATTATCAAGTCCATATCATCGGGCTCCAAATGGGATTCGTTTTCACTATCGCTCGCGTAATCACTTTCTTCGCCACCACCACCAGCTGCATCTAATTTCTGCCCAGCTTCTGCCGCTTTAGAAGTTGAGGGAGAGAAGTCTATCGATCCTGCCGCCTTAGAAGTTGAGGGAGAGACGTCTTTCGATCCTACCACTTTAGAAGTTGAGGGAGAGAAGTCTATCGATTCTACCGATTGAACAGCATTTGAGGAGGAAGCGGAGCTTGGAGCTGGTTCATTGTCGCCATCCGGTTTATCCGCTTGAGTCTAAAGTTGTAGTAGGTGGAACATTACAATTCTAATGGAATCAAATCACAAAAGTTTTCGAAAAACAAACGAAAAATTTACGATGCAATCATATAATCAATGGTGAAATTAAGAAGGTCAAGTCATTTCAAATAATCATTTCCATCTCTGCATTTTCTGTAACTGTAACCTTGTCTAGTGTTAATAGAAAATAGGTTCCCATCTCTGATTTGTGTGTATGCCATGGATTTGTAAACATAAAGGGTGTTTATTTTTGATTGAGATATAGAACTTCGAATTGAAATAAAACACAAGAAAATCGTTTTAATGTCCATCCAATTGGGCTTTATTGGAAGGATAATTTTGTGGCATTAGGTCAAATTTTCAACCACTTTTTCGAGCATATGGGGCCGTATGTTAGCAATAACATAATACGAATGTTGGATTCCCCTAACGTTTCTGGTTTGTTGGCGTAGCGACGAGCGACTTTAAATATCCCCAAAGAAAATAATCCAATGGTGTCTAACCACACGATCTTGGTGGGCAATTGACAGGTCCATTAAGCGAAATTATGCGCTCATCTAATTGTGACGTGACCACTTCATGGTTATCATGGCTCCATTAAAGGTAACAGTCAGTTTTTGTGGATGTAATGGCGTCTCAAGGGTCACACATGTGGATTCTCTTCTCACTCTAAATGCGGCAATTTTGCTTGTTGACGTAGCCATTCAATCAAAAATGAGCCTCATCACTGAACAAAATTTTGTGATAAAAATCAGCATCGAGATGAATCTCATTTCCGGCTCATACATCAAAATCACGACGCATTGCATGGTCTCGCGGCTTTAATTCTTGCACAAGCTGGATCGCAAGCCAAGATCTTTGCGCAAAATCTTCCATAAAGTTGATAGACAAAGCTGCAAAGCTGCTGTGCACGGTGGCGAATCATTGCATTCGGGTCCTCTTCAACACTTTGCTCTACAGCGTCAATTGTGCAATCTTCGACGTTTCAGCATATTATCACATAGAGTAAACGTAGTGCGAAAACGATCCATGGTTAACCGAATTAATTGCTCTGATGGACGATTATGTCGACCAAAAATGGACGGAACTTGCAGTGAACTTCGCAAACTGGACTTTGAACCATTAAATTTGCACGATTTTCAAGCGTTGTTTTTTTTTTTTCAACCTTTTCATGATGAAATGGCAAACCATACTAACACTGCCTTTACACGGTGCAATTTTTAGCTGGCATTTTTATCAATTCTCTTTTAAAATTTCTGCGTAAATCTTCGCGCCTTTACACGGTGGCATTTTACGATAATAGTGCTTGGCATTTTTTCTGACATTTTATTTTATTCCGTATTTCGTATAGAGCTAATTGTTTGTAACAGATATTTATAAAGTGATTTAAAATTAAATGTGTGAATCTAATGAAGAAGTGATGGAAAAAGTTATTGAGGTGTTAAATATTGCATTATTAACTTTTAATTTAACTTTCTTTTTTTACTTTTTAATACTTCCAATTAATTTTCATATAATTCACTATACAATTCAATCACTAAAAACATCACATCACAATAAAAGAAACGCATCAAAAATTACAATAAAGAAACGATATGAAATGTCAAAATCATAAAAAATTCGGAAGAAGCAAAAAGAGAAATGCAAAGAAAATGGCATGTAACCCTGTGCGGTGGCTTATCGCGCCATTTTTTCTTCTATCCTTGTCTCTCCATACCTTTTACCAACAAAAAAAAATGGCATGGTTAAAAAATGTCACCGTGTAAAGGCAGTGTTAATATTTGTTCACTTGACATCTGACAAAATGGCCGCCAGTTAAAAAAGTGATGCCAACTTAAAGTTCTATAACCCAAGAAAAAAACAAAACACCCTTTACATTTTTGGACAAGATGATATGTTGTCGTCAAATGATTAATTTTCGGAAAAAGTTGTAATTATATGATTGCGTGACTTTACCTTCTTAATTCTACCATGTATACAACAAGGGGGATAAAAGTACGTTTACATACAATATTTCCAAGTATAGAGACAGTAATTGACTCCCCACAATCAAACAAAACTGTATGTTTTCTATAGAAAAAGTGATTGTGATTGGCCAATTATCAGGGTACAATAAAGAAAGTAAATTATCGGCAAGAGATTTTGGCAGGTAAACCTACAGTGGCGCAATAATAAAGTTGCTACCAGACGATAAGGGTTTTACATATGTAATGTTCGATTTGAAGGCCATATTTTTGTGCCAATTCGAACAAATCTAAACTTATTCTAAAATTTGATGCTATTTCCGATATTTTTGCCTTCATTCAATAAAATGTAAAAATTATGGTGTTTGACTTTCTTGCAGTTTTTTTTTTATCTCACCCTGTATGTAAAACCCTTATCATCTGATAGCAACTTAAGGTGAGAATACATCAAACACATTTTTTAAACAGGCTTAGGCTGGAAATACATAAAGCGCATATTTGGCTGGCTTAAGTCATCGGCTGGCTTCTTCGTAGATGAACAAAGGAGTTTTAGGTTGACCTAGTTCGATTTTGGCCCTAGGCTACTTTGTTCATTTCCGAAGAAGCCAGCCGATGACTTAAGCCAGCCAAATAAGCGCTTTATGTATTCCCAGCTTTAAGTCATCGACTGGTTTCTTCGTAACGGAACGAAAGAGTTTAAGGTTGACTTAGTTCGATTTTAGCCCATCATTTATACTTGTTTACTTGTCTTTGTTCTTTTCCAAAAAAAAAAAAAAAAAAAAAAAAAAAAACAGCCGATGACTTAAGCCAATCAAAAAAGAGTTTTATGTATTCTCACCTTAATTTGGACTTCAAATTTTGTTCCCAACTTTTTGGAAAATTCGTAGTTTCTTACCTTTCGCCGCCGGTGCTCTTCTACTATATATTCCAATTGTAATGCCTTTGGCCCCCTTAGCTTTGCCAATTCTTCATCTGCCTTTTGCCATTTCAAACGAAATTCCTTTTTTGCGGCTTCGTAAACGGCAATTTCTTCAGCTGTCCAATTTGGAGGATAAACTCTGGGTTTGACTTTCTCATCCTGAACCTCATCGGCTATTGACGGTTCCTTAGATTCCAATTGTTCGATCTTGGCTCTGATATTTGTGAGATAGGCCCGTTTTAGTTTCTGCAGCACCCTGTCGGGCAAAGTATCCCGAAGATTGTCAATATATATATCAATAAATTGTTCATGATAGTTCATCTGTAATTTCAGAAATGGATTATTTCTTTTTTTTTCTGTTTTCTTATACGACGCCAATATAAAGGTGGAAATACATAGAGCGCTTATTTGGCTGTCTTCTTCGTAGAGGGATAAACGAGTTTTAGGTTGACTTAGTTCGATATTATCTTCACGTTCCCTCGTTCTTTTCCAAAGAAGCCAGTCGATGACTTAAGCCAGTGAAATAGGAGTTTTATGTATTCTCATCTTAAAGGCGATCGAATCGAACATGAAATTATAGGTTCACCGAGCTTGCCCTTTAATAGGTTAGGTTAAGGGACGCGCAGTTACCATATGGCAACCGCTCCGCTCGGAGACCTATAGGTCCATTGTGTTCATCCTAGAAGGAAAAAAAAAAAGGAAGGAGTGGTTGATAGAAGTTGGCGAAGATAGGAGATAGAGTTATAGAGTATGATCTACGGCTAAGGAATTTGCCATGTCGTCTTTAGCCACTTGAATCTTCTGGCTAATTGAAGGATTACTATAGGGTCAGTGTTAGAAAAAGAAGGCAGATCATGTGACCCGAGCCTGTGTCTCACATTAATGAGTGCTGGACAGTGGCAGAGCAAGTGTTCGACTGTCACGATTTCTTCTTCATCTTGACAGATCCTACAGTAGTCAATGTCGTCGCTGCTCCATTTCGAGGTCATTGCCTCGTCACCCTACAGTGACCTGTGATTATACCCATCACAAGCTTTAGATCAGTTTTCACAAATGACAGTAGCGACTTTGTTCTCTTCTCTGAGAGTGTGGGCCAGATTTTCTTTGGGAGATGGTGCATCCCATTTCGTTTTTCGGCTATTTTTGTTGGATTCTCTCAGAGTCAGTGTCCTGTGAATGACCTGTAGGAAGTGGCACAGTGGTGGTTTAACCGAGTTATCTACTTCAATTGTAGTTGATTCCTAGATACTAGACTGGCCAATTCGTCTGCAGTCTCGTTACCTGCGATGTTATAATGACCAGGAACCCAACTTGAGTTTGATGGGCAACCCAGTGTTTTTTCAAGGCTTTCCTGCAGTTCAAAACAGCCCTAGACTTAATAGTAAAGGAATTTAAGGCCTTCAGTGCCGCTTTGACTATCGACATATATAGTCACCGGACCGCTGACCTCAGTATTCCTCGTAACCAGCAGATATGTGGCCTTTTTGACCGAATCCTAGCCTGGCCAATTCGTCTGCAGTCTCGTTACCTGGGATGTTGTAATGACCAGGAACCCAACTTGAGTTTGATGGGCAACCCAGTGTTTTTTCAAGGCTTTCCTGCTGAATATGTACCTTCGGTTGGCCACCAGAACTCAAGCGCCGACCATGGTGATGGTGTGGGCCGCCATAACAGCCGATGGTCGCTCTCCGCTGCAGTTCAAAACAGCCCTAGACTTAATAGTAAAGGAATTTAAGGCCTTCAGTGCCGCTTGACTATCGACATATATATATTCACCGGATCGCTGACCTCAGTATTCCTCGTAACCAGCAGGTATGTGGCCTTTTTGATGGGATGGGATGTTATAATGACCAGAAACCCAACTTGAGCTTATTGGCAACCCAGCCCTAGACTTAATAGTAAAGGAATTTAAGGCCTTCAGTGCCGCTTTGACTATCGGCATATATAGTCATCGGACCGCTGACCTCAGTATTCCTCGTAACCATCAGGTATGTGGCCTTTTTGACCGCAAAGATTTCCGCCTGAAATACGCTACAGTTGTTTCAAAGCTTGTAGGATTCACGAACATTAAGGGTATCACAGAAGACACCAGCTCCCGTTCCACAGTCCATCTTTGAGTAATGTCTATGTATAAACAGCTATACCGCGGAAAGGTGGCTTGGTCAGGTGGGTCAAAGCTCAACCATGGTGAAATATGGTCACTTGTATTGGCTACCACTCCCACATTTCTTACACGTCTTAGAATCGCAGAATGTCCAAAGGGTTGACTTCGTTTAGTTCTCTGAGTCGAAGAGCACTCCTGAATGCTGCCTGTTCCTCTACACGGACTTAAGCGGACAGTAGGGTGTCCAGTGCTGCTTGAGGCGTGCTCCTGAAGGCACCCGTTATTAGTAGGGATGCGGCTCTTTGAACTTTGTTAATGTGTCGTAATTAGGTTGACTTCTTTAAGGAATGCCACCATACTAGAGATCCATAGGATAGAATAGGGCGGACAATTGACTCATACATCCATTTAATGTGTGGATGTGTGGTTTGAGGCCCCAGCTTTTACCCAGGGAGTTCTTACAGGAATAGAGTGCTGTCAAGCCTCTCTTAGCTCGTTCCACTTTCAACTTGCCCTTCAATAAGTCCACTACACATGTAGTACAAGTGAAGCTCTTGCATTTTTGGCAAAAAATGTTTGATATCATCACGTCACGATTCAAGCGGAGTCTTTAGAGAAGTTCCGTATTCTCCCACCATGGATATGTTGAAAATGCTCTAAATAGACTATAAAACAACAAAAATAACATTATTTACCGCTCTCTCCATTTTGATGCTCTTGTTCGATGCTCTGCAAACAGGGAAAATCAATTGTTGTGTGTCTGCGGGGGTTTTTAACCTTGATTGGTCTTCTCTTTTCTAAAATGAAAAAAAAAACAAATCAAATCAATTTCGAACCATAAACTATAAGCACATGCTATAGGTGTAAACGTGGAAGTACATAAGAAGCTTGAAGTCATGGTTAGGCATATTTTGTGACATTTCATAAAGGGACTGCAGAGTCGCACTAAAATCCTCCGACGTTTTCCATTATAATTTGGCATTGAGCCTAGTCATGACTTCATGGCTTTTTATGTACTTGCACCTTAAGTAAACAAACAAATGGTCCTTCGTTTCCAGATCTGCTAGAAGGTGAAAATTTTTACTACGATAAGCGATTTTCCCTTTATGATATCGAAGAAAGTTGCAAAACTATGAAAAATTCTTGCAGGTACTGGAACAGAGCAAAATAATGAAAAAACTGGAACCAACTTCAGACTACTATCATTTCTAAGCCACTCGTCCGACAGCTGTTAAAATTATTCCAGTGACAGCACACTACATTGTTTACAAGCGTACAAAAGCATTTTGATGGGAATTTTCCAGAAAAAAATTTATTCCTGATGGAATTCAAGCGGGATAGTGTGATTTCTTTATATTTGGCTGGAAAACCGCAAGTGGCTAATCCTTATGCTGGAAATACATAAAGAGCATATTTGGCTGGCTTAAGTCATCGGCTGGCTTCTTCGCAGATGAACAAAGGAGTTTTAGGTTGACTTAGTTCGATTTTGGCCCTTGGCTCCTTTGTTCATTTCCGAAGACGCCAGCCGATGACTTAAGCCAGCCAGGTAAGCGCTTTATGTATTTCCACCTTTAGAGCCCTCCAGCATTTAAATGTAAATAACTCGTCTGTGTCTCGTACCATCGCTCGTTACGTCAAGAAAGTGGACGGAAGAAAACAGCAACCTCAGCAAAAATGGTTCGAAAAGTCAAGAAACAACTTGATTGAAACCCGCGTCGCAGTGGCCGAAAACTGGCTAGTGAGCTTAACACATCGCAAATATTCCATTTGGCAAATTTTTAAAAGATGAGCTCGGCGTAAAGCCATTTAATTTCCAAAAAGTGCAAGAACTTACACCGCAACAGAAAGATAATAGACTCAAAAGGCCGCCGAAGAGTTGCTTCGCTTGGCCGAAAGTTGTGATGGTGAACTGCCGAATATGGTTTCGTTGTCCAGCAGCAGTTTGTAAACAAAAAACAAAATGATCCGCTCGTGTTTACTTGCCAAAGAGGTCAGCTGATGCTGAATATGTACCTTCGGTTGGCCACCAGAACTCAAGCGCCGACCATGGTGATGGTGTGGGCCGTCATAACAGCCGATGGTTGCTCTCCGCTCGTACAAATCGAACGTGGCATTAGAATAAATGCGCAAATATTATCGCGAAAATGTGCTGGAGGGTGTATTAAAGCCTTGGGCAAAATTTTGGCCGCAGACCTTGAATATTGCAACAGGACTCAGCACTATCGCATTCTGCATGCTCCACCACCCAAGAATGGTTACAAAATGAGGTTCCTCGCTTCATTTCCAGCCTAAAATGGCCACCAAAATCTCCGGATACCAATCCGTTGGACGACTATTGTGTCTGGAGTATTTTGGAAAACAAGTTTGGCACTAAACAGTACCAAAGTGATGATCATCTCAAGCAAGCGCTTCGTCGGGAATGGACCAAAATACCGCAAAGCGCAACATTCGGGCAGCGTGTGACAGTTTCATTGGCCGTTTGAAGGTCATAATTCGTGACAAAGGTGACCAATTCGTACAAATCTACCTTATTCTAAAATTTCCTGCTATTTCCGACATTTTTTGTAATTTTTTTTTTTTTTGTAAAAATGTAAAAATTATGGCGTTTGACTTTGTTGCAGTTTTTTCACATCATCTGTATCTATACATATATGTATATATACATATATGTATGTATATATTTTATGAGATCACTTAAAATAGAGTGGATTTGAGAAATAGGTTTAAATATTTCGAGTTCATTCATGCATTGTATGGTTCATGCATGGTAGAAAAATACAGGTACACGCATCAACGCTTGGAAACATTTATACGTCAAAAAATGTTTAAGTTTTTTTCAAATATAAGTAGATTTTTATATGTTTTCTTATACGACGTCACTCGGAGGTTATTATAATTCCCGCTTTTCAACAATTATTACAAATTTAAATAATTTTTCATTCAACATTTTCCATTCCAAAATTAGTTTGACAGTTCATTGTCCCAGCAGCTGCGTCGATGCGTCTACTTATATTCTTCTACCATGGTTTGCGGCCCCCTACACTTGTTTCCGGTTTATTTTATATTGTATTGTACATTCATGCATTGTATGATTCATGCATTCACGATGGCAGTCATGCACCTTCAATTCTATGGCGGTTACTGTCAATGCGCAATCGATAATCATTTTTGTTATCACTTCATAGTGAATTATTAATATTTTTGCTAACCCAAGGACTGTCTTGTGAAAATGAGGTATATCGGACCACTCCTTCGGGCACCTCCCACACAAAGGGTCCAAATTTTGAATATCCACGAAGGTCATAAAACGCAAAATTAGCAATCGATTCCAAGATGTTGAATTTTGATTATTTTGACAGATATGTATGTGAGTTTTTCGATAAATTGGTAATGGTATAAATAAACAATCGATTATAAAGAGCTGCCGTTTACTAAACCGGGGAAAAACGTAGATAAAATTTTATTTAATGCGCAAAAAATTATGGTACTTAGGCGGGGTAAGTATTTAAGCAGGGTATTACTTATAAGGGTACATTTTTTTCCAAAAAAAAAGCAATAGTGTCGGAAGTTTCTGGGTACTAAAACGGGTTAGGTGCTAAAGCGGGGTTTACTGTATTTTTATGTAATAAGAAAAAAATAAAAGACTATTTCCAACATTTTTAGACAAATGCCCTTAGCAACACTTTTAAAGGATTCCGGGGAACACATAAAATCGATCTTTCTTTTATTGCTCATATTTTAATTTTATTGCTAAAACTTGTAAATTTCTGTAACCGGAAACACCTAATTTTTTATCAGTTTTGGTGGTGTTCCAGATCGTTTATCAAAGTGTTATCACACACACACACACACGTAACCGATCGCACAAATCCAAACACAAACACACACACAATTAATGCAATGTTCACTTTTTCAATTTAAAAAAAAAATCTTTACACGCTTTATTTAAGAACAAGCAAAGACGTCTTCGATACTGCCACTCTCGGTCACAACACTTGAGTGAATGTAGCGAATATATTCATGTATGATTTGTTACGTATTCCTGATTGGCGGCGTTAAAAGTGACCCTCCGGCTGCTAGCGGTCTCGGGGTCTGGTTCTCAACCGTCACTTTGTAACACCTCAGGACGAACACGAAATTGGAACTTTACACATCACAAATACAATACACTACACAAACACAACACCTGCTCAGGCAAGGGAGAGTTGATGTTTCTACTCCCGCATTCGCCCACCCTTCCATGGTCTTCAGGGTTCCTTTTTAAAGTAATTTTTTGAAGACCCCACACACACTCACCTCTTTACCTAGCTAGAAAATTGCCCTACTAACAAAAATTTAACACATAGTTTATTTTTAGTCTAATTCTAATCACAACATTATTTATTGACAGAAAGGACTTACAGCTAAATACAGATAAATTTTGTCGATCTTTAAAACGGACAATCTAACACCAGATTAAAACAAATTGTAAACATATGAAAAATAGCAAATTTTCCTTGTGAGAAACCTAGGGAATTTTGTCTGCACTTTTCAGACCTCAAATTCTAAACAAAATATTACCTACTGTAAAGGAGCTCTCTTACAACGGCCTCACTAGCCAAAATTGGCTCGAATTGAAACATACGACTACACCCTCTAGCTTTCCCTGGATATTGCTCATATAGTACTAGGTGAAATTTAAAGGAAACTGGCGTTAAACATCCTTACATTAAAACATTAAGAGAGGACATCACAACACATACTTATACTATTCAATTAAATTTGCAATATGTTTATATTAAAATAATTTGCATGTCTATCAATATTCTCCTATCGTTATTTAAATTAATTTTTTTTTTGTTTTTTTTTTTTTTTTTTTTTTTTTTTTTTTTTTTTTAAATAAATTTTCTTAATTTGTCGATTTCTCTTTCTTTTTTAGTTGCAATTCCCTGGATATTCTTCCGTGCTCCAAAACATGGATAAAGAAAAAGGGTGTCTATTACCTGGTCATTAATTACGTGGCAAAATATTAATTTTTATGCCATAGGAGATGACACCTTGCGATCAAAAAAAAAAATCTCCAACTTGTGGCCATCCGATCAATTTTGACCCAAATTCCGCTGCCTCAGATACGGACACCAAACAGAAGTATGACACCAAACAGGGAGACCTTCAAATTCAACGGCCAATTTAAACCCAAGGACCGGGCATTTAACACCAGATCCCCACTCAGCAGTCAGTGGAGACCAAAAAAAATATTGTGATTTTGGGGAACCTTTATATATAAAAAAAATACAAAAATAAAAATGTTGTTTGCTTTCCCACTGTCACTAGTATGATGTTCTCACTTTTTGTTAACAAGTAAACACACATATAAATATTCACTTTTTTTTAGTGTTAAAAACTACTTTGGACCGTCTTCTTGCTTAGATCTTTTGCAACACTATGTTGCCAATTTTCCTATTTTCCCCCTTTTTATAGTCGCTTCATTTTGCCACCATTTTTCCTAAAATTTCCAATATTTATTATGGACCTTGTTGATGGCGATAGGGTAGCTACGAAATGGCTACTCAGCCATGGTTGTATAAATCCGTAGCCAAATAACGATTGAACGATCCCTATTCTTTTATAATGGCAACGCCATCCATTTCCTTCTTGTCATTTTCTTTTTCATTTCGCCTGATGCGCAACAGCATCTAACTTTAAAATTTTATTTTTCTGAATCGGGTCTCTGAGCTATTTCTCTTTTCAAAGAAATAGCTACTGGGGTAAGTAAACAAATGGCATATTTTAAAAACAATGTAAAAACTATTTACATTGAATTTTCCAGGTAAGCCATGTAGCCTACACGCCCCCTGATGGCCCACCCGACGCAACAAAACTTCGACCCTTTGCTGAGTTAATTTTGCAAAGGTCGATGTGCGGAAGGTTTTATTATTCCACGTGGGGAACTCCCACAGCCCTGAAGTCTCATGGCCGGGCATTTCTGGAACTTCAATGGTAAGCATACCCTTTTGGAACCGTGAGATTTGTTCAACGGTACTTTGTGTGGCGTCATTTTTTTAATGTATGCACACATATACATGTATGCGTTATGGTACGACCCGTCCCCCCATACGTTTATGCGTATATAGCAAGGTGGCAACCTTAGTTTCTACAATGTTATCCATTCACGCTGAATGAAATGTTGATGAATGGAAATAAGAAGAAGACTGTTTTTATTTCTCTTCTTTATTCATACAGACGTGTTTGCCGACATAATTGAAAAATTCCAGATTACACCTGAATTATTTGGAGAATTTTTTTGATTTGAAGCACCCGAACAATATTTAAGGAGACTGTGAGTATAATTTATATATTTTTATTTATATCTACCCCTATATTAATGCATATTTTTTTAGGTTACTCGGTTCGACTGGGATATGAGTAAAGTTCCTTAACATGGATTTCTTCAGTATCATTTGGCAGAATTTGTAGTGTGCAGAAAGTGAAATGCGTACGTTCTACCAAACTTGTGTGGTTATTGTTTGGCCGTGAGTGAGCTGTGGTGATTCCTTTTTAATTTTTGGGTAAAATCCCCATTTGGGCTACACCAACCATCATTGAATGGTGTATGGTGTATTCAATGCTTTTATTCAGCCCTCCAACCACTACGTACTCCTTTGGGTTTATGAAATTGTAAGTTAAACCTTTACTGTTTATAAATGCCGTAGTAATTTTAATTTTTTTTTTTTTTTTTCAGATACTGCTGAGTCGGGGGTCATATTATTGTTATTGTCCGGTCATTAAGAATTAGTTATACTGCGCTTACTTATTTTTGAACAAATTCCTGCCTAACATGAACTTGTTTTGCTCCAAATCTTTCGGAATTGTGTGTTTATATGGATAAAAGCATGGTATTCGTAAAATAGAAAACTAACTATCGCGCAATAAAGCGTCTGTCCCTGGTGTAAGTGGAAAACCGTGAGTATATTTATTACTTTTTTTTTGCTTTACAAAAAAAAAAAACATTGTCTAATTTTTGTGTACATATTGCAGACGTCCCAGAACAAAACATGAGGTGGCTAATATGGGATCAATCTGCAGTGGAAGTGTTGATTTTATATTTATTTTTCCCCCATCGAAATTTTATCCATGTGAAGGAGTTATTTTACCATGATATGTACAGGTGAGTGATACATTTCTGAAATTGTTTTTAGGCAGTTTAACTTGTTAGGAGTTAGGAGGTGATTTTTTTAGCCTTTTTATATAAAAGCAGAGATGTTTTTATTGGCCTAATAAATATACAAAATAATGTTCAAAGTGTTTTAAATCTCTTGAGATTTATATTAATATTTTCGCTTTTGGATCGAATAGATGTTCAATGTTCAAAATTGAGTCTTTCAAAGCAAAATTTGTACCATGCTACCACAATTCTTGTCCAAATAATGGGCACAAAAGTGAATAGAATTTAGCTGAGTTTATTAGGTTCTTATTTAAGATACTTCCACAATAATTTAATTTATGGTAACTTAACTTTATCTGCCTGACGAAATTATTGGTGATGTGTTTTTTTTGTTACGTTTGTTTATCAATAAGACAATATATACAATATTGACACCAACACATCACGTTTTACAAACTGGAAAATCACCAGTATAAATTTTAATAACCGGCGAAACATAATGTCATTTCCTCAAAATGGGTCAACAAGAAAATATTTCAGTTTTATACGAAATTTGGGATATTAAGTTTTACGTTTTTAATAATGGGGCTAAGTCACATTTTATCATGACATTCGTCTTCACCCTTTATATGGATACTCTGTTTTTTTATTAACGATAGTGGTCGAAGCTATTTCGTGATCAAAACCTAACTAGGATATCTACCACTTTGGCCTAAATTCCCTAGGTTCGCGATGGCATAGTTCCGACCTGCCCCTATGATGGGAAACCATTTATGTGGTTAGATTTCAGCTACATGGTTTTTGGCCGTAGCTCAGTTAGCCACTTTGACCACCTATATTGTTTCGACTTTATCTTAATCAAAAAACAATTTCGCCATTAAGCTCTACATCTTCAGATCCTTCACGTGGCAGGTTCCTAAAGGCTTTCCCTGCATATCTTCTATTTCATACATATTGCTACCAATCGGTTTGACTATTCTGCACTTTAGGTACTTGCGACAAAATTTGGCGTTTATATTTTTCCCAAAATCGCTCAATATATGATTTTTCCTGTAGGCCTCCTGTCCGGGAATGAATTTAACTATTCGGGCTCTTTGATTGTAGCGTTTCGCACTCCGCTCGTAGGCCTCGTGTAGGTTTTTCTCAATTTTGTCCCTGATTATTTCCAACCGTTCTTTTCTGCCTAATTCATTTATCTGATGATCGCATAAAGATTGTAGTTTGCGGGCTAGCTTGTAGTCACTGCCGGACGTGTACATCTCGTAACCAAA